CTTAATCTTACAATTTCGTATCTTTACTATATATTAATCTACGAACGTATTTATTTTTTATATAGATCTTGATTCTGCGTATTATATATCTATTCTTGATCAGAAGTTTTTGATCAAATGAGGTATTTCTGCTCTTCCTGTAATATAATTTTGTTAATGATGTATATTAAATTTTTTTATATGTGTTTATGTTTGTTCTGATGTTCGTTTTGTGCATTTAGGTTCTGATCATGTTAATTCGAGTGATCATGCTCATAAAACCTTTCTTTGGGATTTTGCGAGGAACAAATAAAGAATCTAATGGTTTCAATGGTTCGTTTTTTGTTTTGAGCACCATTTTTTCCCTTATTTTAATATTTATTTTAAATTCTAACTACATTGTTTTTTCATATGTTTATCTATGCAGAAGATAATGAGTCTGATGATACCGAGGTGCTATCTGGCCGTGGTACTGATGATGATTATGGTTTTGAGGATTACATGGGCTCTAATGCCGAGTCGCACGATGATACCGATGATATGGACCAAACAGATGAATACGATTCTGAAGATGATTTTATTGACGACGGTGAGTTTTCTGAAGGATCTGATGGTTCAAGTGATAACTCGGAAGGTGATAGTGGTGATGATGAAGATGAAGATGATGACGATGCTGATTCGACTGATGATGATGAGGATGATGATGAAGATGTTATGTTGGATGATGAGACTGAGAGTGACGATGATAGTGAGAATCACCAAAACGTTGAACCGAATGATATACTCATCGAAAAGAATATTAGTATATCGGGATACCAGAATTCGGTGTGTACTTATACAGTTTCTCTTGGTTCAGTGTGTTTTGGAGGGTGTGTGTCCCGTTGGAGACCTTCCAAAGATGGTTGTACTATCTTTGTTAAGGTTTTACAGACGTAGGTGCATATGCTAATTTTGAAACGTTCTTCCTTGGAGCTCATTTTATCGGATGAACAGGTATTTATTATATTATGAGAAAAAATATTGTAAAATTATGTTGATGTCTAATTGACTGTTTTATTCACAGGGTGTTAAAATTCAGGCCACTGTTAGAGATGGTGAGATCGATGTCGCAGCGTCTCGCATAGATGTTGGTAGTTGGATTATTATCAGTCGTTTTTCTGTTATCGAGTGTGAGGATAGTTGTAGACTGATTTCTCATAGATACAAAATATTGTTCCTACCATCAACTATCATTGACAAGACTTCACGTGAAGTGAAAACGCTTATTTTGACTTCGTTGATTTTCAAAGGATATTGGATCGTGCCCATGATGATGACTATTTAGTTGGTGTGTTTATTTTTCGGTTTAGATATTGAATTTCATTATTATTATGTTGCTGATGTTAATATGGTTTAGTTTTTATTGTTTATGAAGATTTGATAGGTCGGGTCTTAAATGTAAGTCGATCTGGGACGTGGTGTGGTTTACTCTCTAGAGAGCATCCTGTTCCTTCCTATGGCAGTCCATGTAAGGATGTATATGATTCCGAAAAATGGGGTGCATATTCAACTGTAACATTCTGTCTGAGGGATAAACGGTACTGTCTGCTGAGTGTTTTTAAATTGTATATTATCGTTTTATTTGTTCTGTCTAGCTGATTATGTGTGACATATTTTAATTTAGTGGTGTTAATTTGAGTTTTGAATTATCCGGTGAGATGGCTAAAAGCTTTTATGCACCTTGGAGACGCTGTGATCAGGATGGAACGACTTCATCATCAATTCGATTTAAGATAATAGATGACGAGTAAGTATAGCTCAAACTATATGTTTGAAGTCTAACTAACTAATTCTTAACTACATTGTTTGTCAAAATATAGGAAATTTATGCTTGAGTGTGTTGCACACGGTGAATTGGCAACTGAAATAAGAGATAAGTGTAGAGAATACGAAGGCCCCTTTGCTATATGTGTGTTAACCGATTGGTGTGTAGCAATTGACGGGGGTATGTTTTCTGATGATATATCAATATGTTATATATAAAATCTTAGTATATAATGTAATAATATTCTAATATATATATTTTAGAAAATGTGTCTATCAAGGATTATGATGATGATGGTGTGTCCCGTTTTATCACTGATTCACCGATTGCTGAAATTTAAACCTTTATGCATTTTGGAGACGCTGTGAGATGATGGAACGACTTCATCATCAATTCGATTTAAGATAATAGATGACGAGTAAGTATATTTCAAAGTATATGTTTGAAGTCTAACTAACTAATTCTTAACTACATTGTTTGTCAAAATATAGGAAATTTATGCGTGAGTGTGTTGCACACGGTGAGTTGGCAACTGAAATAAGAGATAAGTGTAGAGAATACGAAGGTCCCTTTGCTATATGTGTGTTAACCGATTGGTGTGTAGCAATTGACGGGGCTATGTTTGTTTTCTAATGATATATCAATATGTTATTTATAAAATCGTAGTATATTTTAATATATATATATATATTAGAGAATGTGTCTATCAAGGATCATGATGATGATGGTGTGTCCCGTTTTATCACTGATTCACCGATTGCTGAAATTTTAACCTTGCGCAATAGATAAATATGTTTCTCTGTGTTGCCTAAATTGATTTATGAAGAAAAAAACAATATTTATATTTGTCTAAATTGCGTAACAGTAATTTGCCAACCTTATGTATATCTTTTTTTTGTTATTAAAATTTCAGGATTAGGGAGAAATTAGATGGACTGGATACAGATGGTGTCTAATGGATTAGACCGAGTATAAGGATTCAAAATTGATAATCCACATGCATTATTAGTTTTGTTAGACACATTTTTTTGGTATTTACAAGTCTGTTTTGTAATTATTAATAAATAATAATTTATTCTAATTTCGGTTTAAATTACTAATCCTTCTTCCCAACCATTTCTTTGACTTTTTCAAAACATTATCCCCATGACTACATATAATTTTGTTGATGAGTTACATGCATCGAGACGAGATTGGAAAATATGTGTCAAAGTTTTGAAAAGATGGAATAAACCTGATCGACAAGGCTTACCAGGGATGAATTTCATTTTAGTCGACGAAAATGTAAGTATTATCTAATATGAATATATAATTGTTTTGTCTATATTTATTGTTTGTTTGATCTCTTTTCAAAATTCATTGTATATAGGGTTGCAGAATTAATGCTTCATGTGGTAACCTCGCATTTCCATATTTTTACCGTGTTGGGACTGAAGGACTGTGGTTTGAATTGTATAAATTCGGCTTGATATCATTTGAATGGAAGAATGAGGGAAGGACAACGAGACACAATTATCAGATCGTTCTCACTACTGAGACAAAAGTCTCAAGCCTACAACCACTGACAATGGATCTCTTTATGAAATTTGTCCCTTTTAATGAGATATACAGAGTTCCTTACGGTCAGTTGTATCCTGTTGGTAAGATTAACTTATAATATTCGTTTTAGTGTTTTCATCTATAAATTTGTACATATATAGAAAAAAAAATTTATGAAGTTCATTTATGATAAAATTTTCTCTCATAATTGATTTGTAGATCTCATTGGTGTGATGGAAAATGTTAGCAACATTGAAACAGAAAATAATTCTGATGGAGAGATTGTTCAGAAAATAACTTTCACCATCACAGATCTCGAGTAAGTTATATTTTCTCTCACGATCACTATGTCTTGGTAACAAAGTTTGTAACTTAAATTGTTTAAATCAAAGGGATGTGAAGTTGAAATGTATCGCATACGGAGAATTTGCCGCTGATATCAAAGAAATAACCAAAGGATTCACTGGTTCTTTTGCGGTTTCTGTTTTAACCGATTGGAGTTTAAATAAAAAAGAAGATATGGACAATCAAGCATTTGTCATTATTATTTTTATTTTGTCCCATATATGTTTTATAATGCATGTATATTTCCAATTAATCATTTTATGCGTGTAGATAAAATAACTATCCATTCACATGAAGCAATTGGTTTTTCATGTCTTCTCTTTGATCTTAACACACTGATGATACCCTGATTTTTAAGAGAAAATAAGTAATCTGAAAATGATAATTGGAGAATTTTGTATATACAACAACCTTACAATATGTATATGTCTCTTACACTTCTAGAATTTGGGAGAGGTGGAACACATTTTAGACACAAGTCGGAACAAGGATAAAAAGACACTCCTAAACCAGATATATATAACAATACTTAATAGAGTAGTGTTCTCTTAATTTCTTTGTATAAGTATTTATATAACTTAAAACTTGCGTGTTAGATCTTATTATTTAATTTGATATTTCTTTTTATTATATTTTCATCTACAATTTAATTATTCTTTATTATTATTACTAATTATATTTGGTAGTTGTTTATTATAATATTTCTTAATAGGTACATACGATTTTAAATAATCTAATATATGATTGATATTAATCGATTTAAAATAATAATAATGGATATTTAGTATTTTTATGATTTATGTTTATACAATATTTTAGTCTCAATTATTGAAAATATACAAAAATTTCTAAAATCAAATTATAATAAGATTTGTATGCTGATTGTGTCCGCGCACCGCGGACAGATACCTAGTATAATCTAACAAAAATTGTGATCAAACTGATTTATGACTTTCACTATTTTCACTAGTTGTATTTTCACTAGTTGTTGTTGCAAGTGTTTGACTTGTGTGGTCTCTTTACTGTGTCGTTTTGGCTTAAGATATTATTATTTGTCATCAAATTATTTTTTGTGGCTTTCACGTTTGTTTCAGACCATAATATTTTATCCTAATCTGATCATGTGGATATTTTTCAGAGCAGTTATATCTAAGGAAACGTGAAATTTTATTGAATATGCTCGAAGCAAATCAACCCTAAAACGATGAAAATAAATAAAAAAAACCATATTCGAAAGTCGAAACAAAACAAAAGAACTAAAGAATGTAAACAAGAGAGAAAACAAAAGCTCTAATTAGCTAATTAATCTCAAAACCAAATAGAAAAATAGTGCTTAGTGATGGGGTTGGGGTCTGAAAGTCTGTAACCACCTGATGAGACGATCCAAAGGTGACAATTTCTTCTTCTTCGGAGCAGCTTTGGGTAGTGGTCGCACCACCACTCGAAGCTTAAGCCCAGCCTCACAATGACTAGTCTTTGAGCTTATGAAATAGTAGATTCCTGGTTTTGTGAGCTCAACGAGATCTTGTCCCGTATTGTGCACGGCAACAGGAGAAGAAGGGTCGCAAGATTTGAACTCCTTATCACCTCTGATTTCCAAGACGTCGTTCACTTGGTCGTCGTAGTAGAAAAGAAGACTATCTCCCACATGAAAGTGTTTCTCCTCGCTCCACTTGTCATAAAAGTCAGTCTCTTCAGGAACACTCCATTCTTGGGAGTCACCGACCTTGTAGGTCATTCCAGAAGGTAGGATCGTGCTCGGTGGTGGTGGAGGAATCGGATGTGAGGGTCCATGGACGACAAGAACTGCGAGTTTCTGTCCGGAAACACATCGAGCATAATTTGAGCTGATGAAGTAGTGATAACCTGGTTCCGTGAGAGTCACGACATCGTGTCCTGTCTTGTAGACGGCTTTAGGAAAAGAAGAGACGCAAAACTGGTATTCCAAAGCAACGGAGACTTGAGTGACGTCGTTGAGATTGCGATCGTATTCAAAGATCAGAGAATCTCCTACGTGGAATACCTTACGCTTAGCCCAACCATAATAGGCGTCGTCCTTCGCCGTCCATCCCTCTGAGTCTCCGACTCTGTAAATGTTCGCCGAATGACAACATCCCATTAGAACCGAGAAGCTCATCATCATAAGCACGAAGCACGAGATTCTTGTTGTTGTTCTTGTCGCCATTATCGATCGAAGACGAAGAAAACGAATCACAAAAAATAATCAAAAAAGAAGAAGAAGAAGAAATTAAGAAAGCGTGGATGAGTATGTCAATGAGAGAAAAAAGAGTCTTCCCTAACTCTCTTTTTATAAGGTTTGAACTTTTAAGGGACCTAATCCTTCCGGTTTTAGGAATTTCCTTATAATTTTATTAAGATTAATTAATTGATTGTTTAATAATCCGTTTGGAATATATGTTTTTCCTTTTTCAGTCTAGCTTCACCTCTTGTTTTGCAAAAATATAGAAGTAATATTTACAGATCTACAATCCTTTTCTGATTAGGCTTTTGTATGCTTTTTTATCCATAATCCCATCTTATATGTTGTTATCTTTGTTTACATCGATCGATAATTTGATCTACTTTCCTTTTTGGAACTAACTACACCTTTTATCCAGATATTATTTTTATCTGATAGTTTTTTTTTGTTGAGTTTAAATACAATTTCTGTTTTTTTTACTTTAGCTAGAAAATAACCACAACCGAAAAAAAATAATACTAATACAAAATCCTTTTCTTCAAAGGTTTTCCATGTTTTCATAGAGATTAAATATGGGTAATTACCCAATGGAAAGTCTAAACCTTTAAAAAAGTTTCAAGCACACAATCCTTCTAGATATTTTGTGTAAAAAGAAAAGATGAGAATTCAAAAAGGGGCGGGTACTCTTTAGTTTACTGTGATTAAACTTTTGCTTAATTTATCAATAAAAGTTTTGAAATAACCACTAACCAATTAAACTTCTTCAGCTCATCAAATTTAAATAATTTGAAATAAATAATTAAATGAAATTAAATATGTTAATAATAATAAATATCCAAATTACAAAAATAAAAATTAATTATATTTTTTCGAATTCTCTGTTCCTGAACTTCCGGTTCCCATTTCTGGGAAATCATGGAACCTCGCCTTCATCTAACTTTGCCATGGTTGCGACTTCCGATTTGGTCATAGTGAGTTCCTCATGCGTTGCGTCTAGATTATTTCGGCATCCGGGACATCTAGAGAAGTAATTAAGATTACCTCGATCCGAGGCATTTGTTTCTAGCTCGGGGACTAGGAAACCCGAGTCTCGTTTCCGTTTCGGCATCCGGGAAATTTGGAAAGGTAACTAAGATTACCTCGATCCGAGGCATTTGTTTCTAGCTCGGGAACTAGAAAACCCGAGTCTCGTTTCCGTTTCGGCATCCGGGACATCTAGATAGGTAATTAAGATTACCTCGATCCGAGGCATTTGTTTCTAGCTCGGGGACTAGGAAACCCGAGTCTCGTTTCCGTTTCGACATCTGGGACATCTAGAGAGGTAATTAAGATTACCTCGATCCGAGGCATTCGTTTCTAGCTCGGGGACTAGGAAACCCAATCTCGTTTCTGTTTCGGCATCCGGGACATCTAGAGAGGTAATTAAGATTACCTCTATCCGAGGCATTTGTTTCTAGCTCGGGGACTAGGAAACCCGAGTCTCGTTTCCATTTCGGCATCCGGGACATCTAGAGAGGTAATTAAAATTACCTCGATCCGAGGCATTTGTTTCTAGCTCGGGAACTAGGAAAACCGAGTGTCGTTTCGGTTTCGGCATCCGGGACATCTAGAGAGGTAATTAAGATTACCTCGATCCGAGGCATTTGTTTCTAGCTCGGGGACTAGGAAACCCGAGTCTCGTTTCCGTTTCGGCATCCGGGACATCTAGAGAGGTAATAACAGATGGCCACGCGTTG